GCTGCCGCCTACCTGGATGATGTGATCATCCACAGCAACACCTGGGCGGAGCATATGCGGCAGGTGGCTGCGGTGCTCGAGTCCCTGAGGCAGGCGGGGCTCACGGCCAACCCGAAGAAGTGTGCGGTTGGACGGAGGGAGGTACGGTATCTGGGGTACCACTTGGGTGGCGGGCAGGTGCGTCCACAGGCGGACAAGACGGCGGCGATTGCGGCCTGCCCAAGACAAAAAAAGAGGTGCGTCGGTTTTTGGGGCTGGCCGGCTATTACCGCCGGTTTATTCCAAACTTCGCTGAGCTGACCAGCCCCTTGACCGACCTCACCCGAAAGGGTGCCTCAGATCCGGTCCAGTGGATGGAGCAGTGCCAGGTGTCGCTTGAGAGGGTAAAGCAGACCCTCTGTGGGGAGCCTCTTCTCCACACACCTAACTTCTGTCTCCCCTTTACACTGCAGACTGATGCGTCGGGCAGAGGGTTGGGAGCTGTTCTGTCCCAGCAGGTGCAGGGTGTCGACCGCCCGGTGCATTACATCAGCCGGAAACTCTCTGACCGGGAGGCCAGGTACAGCACGGTGGAGAGGGAGTGCCTGGCCATCCGGTGGGCGGTCGATGCTCTGCGTTACTACCTGCTGGGGCGCTCATTCACCCTCTGCTCGGACCACGCTCCCCTCCAGTGGCTCCACCGCATGAAGGATGCCAACGCGCGGATCACCCGTTGGTATCTGGCTTTACAGCCATTTAAGTTCAGGGTGGTCCCTGGCCTAAGTCAGGCGGTGGAGGTATGTGGAGGGGGCGTGGCGCTCAGCTGCAGGGGGGAGGGGTGGAGGAGGCTCAGGTGAGCAGTGCCAGGGGAGGTGATTAAGCACAACTGGAACCAGTTGGCTAATCACTCTCCGCTCTGTAAAAGAGTAGCGTGCTGGACCTGGGGGGGACTGGTTTAAGAGGAGAGCTGGAGCAGGAGACAGGCGACCAGCTCGGGGACACAACTGTCAACGGCGTCTGAGCAAAAGAGCCCAAGCCGGGCGTACATGTGAGTGTATGCTCGTGTGCGGGGGCACACACGCTCTGAATAAAAAGCCCATAAAACCAACGAATCCTGGTCTCTGGAAGTCTGTCGTGGCACCCACAGTGGCACGACTGCCACATTTACATTTTTGGAATTTTGATAGTGTGATATCTTTTGACTGCAAGTTATTACCATTCTTTCTGACAAGGCAAGGGATGTGCTAAATAAAACTGTGACATTTATTTGACTTAGATTGTATTGATTACTGGGAAGTTATAGCAAAATCCTGTTCTCTTGGCAAAAGGAGCTTATTTCTGGATTTCTACTGGAAAGTGTGATATCTTTTAACTGAAAGTGAGTGCAAGAGATATTTTGGTTGTGCTATACGTGATATAGAACCCTTCCAAAGTGATTTGAACAAGTTTTGAATCATTCCTTTGAAGTTACACAAAAATCCTGTTTGATGTATATGTCTTAAATTTTTGGAATTTTGACAGTGTGATATCTTTTGACTACAAGTTAGTACCAGTGTGATTCTTTCTGACAAGGCAGGGGATGTGCTAAATAACACTTTGAAAGTTGTTTGACCTAGATTGTATTCATTACTGGGAAGTTATAGAAAATCCTGTTTTGTGCATCTCTTGGCCAAAGGAGCTTATTTCTGGATTTCTATTGAAAGTGTGATATATTTTGACCTAAAGGGATTGCAAGTGAGATCTTGGTTTTGAAGTCATGGAATGTGATTTGGTACACTTCCAAAGTGATTTGAACAAGTTTTGAATCATTCCTTTGAAGTTACACAAAAATCCTGTTTGATGTATATGTCTTACATTATTGGAATTTTGATATTGTTATATCTGTAGACTGAAATTTAAAAAAACAAAAAAATTATCTTTTATTTATCAAAAATACAAAAAATCATTTTCCATTATCCCAACAACAAGTCAGGTACATACAACAGGTCACATTGATATTTACCAAAAATCCCATCAAGAGAAATCAAGTTTACATTACCAATTGATCAACAATTTGTTTCCAGAGACCACACACACCATTTCCCCCCCCCAATTCAATTCCACAAAGTCTGGGTCCCTGTAAAAAAAAGCTCCCACATGTTTTTTCAAACAGTTCTTGAAATAGAGCCACATGTCCACCTTCTTCTGACCATACAGTGCAAAGGAACTGTATACGATGTACGGAACGTACATCGTATACGGCTTTCCGTGCGAATCCCAAAAACACATTGATAAACTGGCCATATTTCATGCTCTGCCTCACCCCAAAGAGCCAGATGTAGTCCCAGGCATTTGCCTGGGGGAAAATAACACCGTATTTATCTTCCAGGATCCCTTTTATCCTGTCCCTGAAATCCTTTTGGGCTGGGCAGTGACTCAGGAGATGTTCCAGGGACTCAGGACCTGAAAGACAAACTGTGCAGGTCCTAGCGTACAGATCCTTATTTATTTGGTGGAGAGTGATGCCAGTGAAAATCCTCCTGTGTCTGATTTTGAAGTCCAGATTTGTGACGGTATGCGACTGATTTTTAACAAAGATATTTTTCCAAATAGTTTCTGGCCTATGATCAGGAAACATGACTTGCCAATGTCTTTCAGCCGTTGGTGGTTTGAAAATTTTGGACACCAAGTGCTTGTACCAGGCCCCTGTCTTAATTCCCTGAAACAATGGAGCCTTCTCCCCCAGGCCCAGTATAAAATCAAGATCACGGCCCTGCTGATGTCCCCCTTTGCTTTTCCACACCTCCCTCCAATGCACAGGTATTCCTTCGTCCATCCTTTTAGCCATGTGTCTTAAATAGGACATTTTAAACTGTATGCTTTTCTGATTTAGCACAGTGGTTATCTTTGTCAGGTCCACATGACCCTCGCTGTTAAAAATATCTCCTACCCTGCACAGGCCTGCAGACAGGAGGATGCCACTACTAAAAGGGGTCCCACGTGGGGCAACCTCCGGATTATGAAACAACGGCAGATTCATCAGGAAGTCCCTGCCCGTCACTTTGGTTCTCAGAGAGGGCCGTACGCTGTACCACAACTCCAGCACCTCTCTATGAAAATCATCTACACCAGCTGTATGGGTCTTTTTCAGGACCTGGCACAGCCCCAGCTGGTCATGTGGGCCCAGCGAAGTCAGCACATCCCCAAATAAATCCTTCCACCCCGCAACATGGTTGGGGTCCAGGAATTTTCTGATAAGCTTTATCTTAAAAGCATAATTCTTGGACTTTAGGTCCACCAAATTTAGGCCACCCCTAGTCCTCTCCCCAATCAATATCTTATGAGCAACAAGGTTCCTTGAACTCTTCCACAGAAAGGTTGCCCTGATGTTGTCCAGCTTGGTCACCACGTCAGAGGGCAGATCACACACAGCCATGGCATGGTTGAGTCTGGACATCACCAGAGCGTTTGTGACCACCACCTTGCCGTTCAGAGTCAAATCCCTCATCCTCCACAAGCCGAGGATGACCGCCACTCCCTGGAGCTGCCGCTCCCACACAGCATCCCTCGCAGCTGTTTGTGTAACCCCGAGCTGCACCCCCAGGACCCTCACACTCTGCTCCGCGTGCTGGAAGTCCCACCTGCCTGGCGTCTGCGCCACCTCACCGCAGTACATCACTGTAGATTTTTTGGTGTTAATCTTTGCCCCCGAGGCCCTGCAATAAATGTCAATTACCCCCAGTGCTTTGTGGAGATCAGCTTCTGTCTTAACCATGATGTTTGTGTCATCTGCGTACTGCATCACCTTCACCTGTCGGTTCTCAGGCGTCACAATACCTTTTATAAGCTGGTCCTTGTTCAGAGCACTGGTAAGGGGCTCTGCCACCAGGCTGTAAAGTAGTGCGGATAAAGGGCAGCCCTGCCGGATTGACCTGCCCAGAGGGAAGAAGCTGCTCACGGTACAGCAGTTTGAGCCACTGTAGCAATTGATGTCCAAAACCAAACCGGTCTAAAAACCTCCCACATAAAGCCATGTTCCACCCTGTCAAAGGCCTTGTTAAAATCCAAGCCGAGGTAGATCCCTCCCACCCTCTGCATCTCCTGTAGCGCATACTTTACAGTTGAAATCGTATCCGAGATATCCCGACCAGGGACGCCATAAGCCTGTGTCTGACCTACCACAGAGGAGATCACAGCCTTCATCCTATTCGCCAGCACCTTTGCCAGGATTTTGTAGTCCGTGTTGAGCAGGCTGATGGGCCGGTAATTAGCTAGATCAGCCATCTCCCCCCCTTTAAAAACCAGGGTTAAAAGGCCAGTTACCAGGGAGGCAGGTGTGCTCTGCTCCTTCTGCATTGTCTCATACAGCCTGTGCAGCATGGGAGAAAGAGAGGGTGTAAAAAAAATTGGAAGAATTCCGCCGTCGGGCCATCCGAACCCGGGCTCTTGTTCTTGTTGAGCTGGACGATCGCCTCCTGCACTTCTGTGATATCAAGCTGCCCCTCACAGAAGTCACTGTCCTCTCTGCTCAATTTATTGCTTATGCCGGCCACGATCTCTCCCACACAGTCCCCCTGGATGCCCTGTGAGGAGTACAGCTCGACATAAAAGCCTCTGGCTTCCTCCAGGATCTGAGGCCTGGAGTGACCCTAACTCCATCCACCAAGAGCTCACTTATATGCGTTTTTTCCTGATTCTTCTTCTCCAGACCCAAAAAATAAGCCGTGCACTTCTCCCCCTCAACAATGTGCCTCGCCCTGCTCCTAATCATTGCCCCCCTACACTTACCACTCCTGATTGCATCCAACTTATCTTTAATTGTGACATACCTGCTAATGTCACAGTCCTCCCCACTATCCATCCTCTCCATTTCTGCTTTCATGCCTTCATTTAAAAATCCTTTCCCCCTCACGCTCCCTAGATGCTTTCTCCTTCCCATATGTCATGCTGACGTTCTTAATCCTTTTCTTTAAAACATCCCACCACCCCAGAGGATCCTCCACAAAAGGCATCTCCCTCTTCGCTGTGTCCAATATCCCACGCATCTTCCGGACAAAGGGGGGCTGCTGGAGGAAAGTATTATTGAAGCACCAGGAGCCTCCATTTCTCTTAGCTCCCCCCCGTCCCACCCGCAACACCATGGAGAAATGGTCACTCCAGCAACTCTCCTGATATTCCATTCCCAGCACCCCTTTCATCACGTCTTCTGCTACCAGGCAGAGATCAATTCTAGACTGCTTTAGCTGAGCTTTTAAAACCTGGACTCTCGAAAACTGCTGTTTGTGAGGATTGAGCGCCCTCCACAGCTCAACCATATTCTTGCCTCTTATAAAATCAAACAGTGCCCTCCTGCTCGTGTCCACCTTAAAAGTATTATTCCCAGACACGTCCATTCTGGTCAAAGCAACATTAAAATCCCCCATGACAATTGTATCCCCTGTGCACCATTTCTTCATGCTTATGTAACCGGGTGGTTCATTAGAGCAGGGGTCACCAACACGGTGCCCGCGGGCACCAGGTCGCCCGCACGGACCACCCGAGGCGCCCGCGAGCCTGTTCTAAAAATAGCACAACTCAATAGTGAGCAGCGTCTAAAATTTAATTTTGTTCCGTTGCTATTCTTTTTTAATCACACTTGCATTCATATAGATTTGATTAAAAATGATAATATCTTAAAAATATGTTCATTATATATTAAGTTTAAGTTTTCTCTAGTTCAAAGGTCAGTATTGGGCACGTGACAAAACAAAACCAGAGTCAGTGGAGAGTAAGCTAGCGGGCGCAGCCGAGATGGGTGCAAAAACATGGCAGAAAAACGAAAGAAAACTTATGACTTTCACAACGAATGGGAGGAGGAGTTATTTTTTACGACTGTAAAAGAAACCTGCGTGTGTCTGATTTTCGGGGCAACTGTGGCCATGGCAAAGCGGCACAATGTGGAGAGACACTTCACTTTGTGCCACAAAAGCTACCGTGCTAACTAGCCACCGGGAAGCGCACTACGGGCAGAAAAAGCACATCTGAAATACGCACTCACAGTTGCAGTGTCAAGTTACACACCAGATTACAATGCACTGGTGAACAGCATGCAATGCCAATCTGTTAAAGATTTGCTCATGAGATTTCAGATTTCTTTTTAATATGTGAGTTGATTTTTCTTTAACATTAGATAATCGATAACTTTTTGAAACATGGTGCAACATAGTTCATGATTTGTTAAAAGGTTTTGTCAGTGGCTAGTGAAAATGAGTGAAATTCAAAACTCCTATGTAAATGTAGTGATGTACAGTAAGTGATCATTTAAAAAGTTAACAGTTGCTGAGATAAACAGAGATAAAGTGGTGGATATTGATATGTTTCCCATTTTGTTGTCACTGTTGTCACAAATGAGTATCATTAATGATTATTAATAAAGTATAGCTAAAAGCATATTGAGGAAATGTATTATTTCAGAGGAGTGTATCAAACTGGTAGCCCTTCGTGTGACTCAATACCCATGAAGTAGCCCTCCGTTTAAAAAAGGTTGGTGACCCCTGCATTAGAGTAAACACTGTTTATATAAAATAGTTGTGGATTCCCACCCGTGTCGGGTCCCTGAATGCACCATACCCCGTCACAGTATTGCTGGGCT